CAGCTCCAGGTAGCAGAGGATGAGCAGAGCGTAGAAGCAAGAGCAGCCTGGGAAAGGCTCCTATAAGGCTTACCAATTTTGTTACGCTTTGGGGATCTTTGGAGTGTAAAGCTTAAGGTATCCTAAGGGTCTTCTTCTGGGCTCTTATGAGAGTTTCTTTTAAGGTTTTGGGGTTTACTGTTTAGGGTTTAAGAGGGACCTCTCTCTAAGGGTCTTCTTCTGGGCTCTTATGAGAGTTTCATGCATGGAGCAGCCGTAGAAGCGGAGTTTTACATGCTTTCTACAAGGCTTCGACTCTCGGAACATTCGCTCACAAGGGATGCAAGGCTTCAGGCTGACGGGTGCATTTTATCATTACTATTATTACAATTATTACTACTACTATTATTACTATTAGTAGTAGTAATATTCGGGTTTAGGACCGACCTGCCTTTGGGTTCTTCTTGCCTTAGGGCGTACAGGGGTTCTCAGCAAGGCATTATGCGGACTTGCAGTATGCTGGTTTTGACCTTTCCGGGCCCTGAAACTTGAAGGTTTCCGGGTTTCTGAAAGGGTGCTACAAATTCTGCAAAGGTTCACTTTATTCACGACCCCAAAACAACGGCAGGCCACAAACTTGCCAGCGCAGAAAGACTCCAAACGTGAACAGCGGCAACCAAGCCCAGCGGCAATACCACATGCAACGGTACGAACCGCACCAGCACTTCTACAACTGGCAGAATGGCAGTAAGCCCCCCGGCATGAACCCTACCAGCAGAACCACAGCAAGTCTTCGCCGCCTCTACCTGACCGCTCCTTTGGCTTCGTCGACAACTCAACGTCATCATGCTGGTAAGAGTCCAGACGATGTGTCAAGCGGGTCAAACCCAGGGAGTTCTATCAGAAATGAGAAGCTGAACTGGGCCCGCTCGATCGTAAGCTCTACCATTCGAGTTGAGACCGCCGTGAACTGGATGTACCTGGCAACAAAATACTATATATTTCATTAACTATTGTTTTGTATATCACATTTCCATACTAGCATATGTACATATGCATATACATATATATATATATATATATATATGTATGCATCTATTTATTCAGTGTGATCTACTCCATGTTCCATTTTAGGTGTTTTAAGTTATGCTATGTCGTGTGTGTTTTGCGTAGAGGGTCCGGAATCTGTTAAGCCTCACAACGTGGCACACCCAAACCCCGAAGCACAGCATGTTAAAAGTACCTCACAGGCATTGGAAGAGTGACATATAAAAGCCATGGGCCTGAATCATTAGAAGAAGGTTGGGGTTATACTAGACTATTGGTTGAAATAGTCTAAACTATACTTGCTCTTTGAATAAGGTGCTCTCATGAAGACTGCCGGTAATTCTTCAAGCTTCTAAGTTCATGTCCCCGGGCTCACATGATCAAGGTCGCCACGACGAAGCTCCATTCACTCGGCCGCGGGTTCACGTTGATCATGTACATAAAGTAGCACAGCCTTAGCTTTAATACTCGGTCTTAGCTCTTTGTTATTTCCGGAAGCGTGATCTTCTGGATAAGTTCCCGCCAGCGCGGTGAGATGAATTCTGGGGACGCAGTTACGTTGTGCAAGCAAAGATCAACTCTGCTCATGCGAGAACCCCCCGCCCCCCCCGAAAGGTGAGAAGATCATGGTCAAGAGCCTTGATCTCTAGAGCGGAGCAGCAGCAAGTGAACAGGACACGAGAACTGGAACAAAAAAACACTGTCAGCACGTGGTGCAGCCAGCCGAACTACGACGACGACGACTGCTGCTGCTACTGCTACTGCTACTGCTACTGCTACTGCTACTGCTACTGCTACTGCTACGGCTACGGCTACGGCTATGGCTACGGCTACGGGTACGGCTACGGCTACGGCTACGGCTACGGCTACGGCTACGGCTACGACTACTACTACTACTACTACTACTACTACTACTACTACTACTACTAATTATTATTATTCCTACTACTACTACTACTACTACTACTACTACGATTAGTACTACTATTAGTACTGCTACTACTACTGCTACTACTACTGCTACTACTACTTCTTCTTCTACTGCTACTGCTACCGCTACCGCTACCGCTACTGCTACTACTGCTACTGCTACTGCTACTACTACTACTACTACTACTACTACTACTACTACTACTACTACTACCACTACTACCAGCAGCAGCAATGGTACTGCGACCAAACTCAGGAAAGACCGCCATCCATCCGAAGAAAAACAGATAATGCATCGAGGACGCGCGCCGGCGCCAAAAAAGGATCCGCAGCGCGCGAACTGAAAGAAGTTCGCCTTCCTCGACTCGGCCAAAGCCATCTGTAACCTGACGGGCCCACGAACTACAACGCGGTGCAATGCTTGGATTGGGCGTTTAACAGGCTTAATTTGGCTTTAGAAAGCCGTCTTGAAGTGTTTAATTGACTGAATGTATAGAAGGTTCAGCAGGTTGCAGGGCCTTCAAGGCTTCAAGTGCGAGGGCTTACGAAGGCTTGAGGGTTTGCGGTCTGGGGTGTAAGTGTATGGGCCATTGGGTTTAAAGGTTTTACTGGCATGACAATCAGAATCTGATGCCGGGTGAAGCGGTGTAGACGTGATACCCGGATAGCAAGTTCCGGGCTAGCATCCCCGTAATGACAGTGAAGATTACAGCCTGTAGACACCTCCCAAGAATACTAAGATCCTCACCACCGCCCATATACCCCACTCTGTATCAGCCCTGCATTAAAGCCAGCAGTTGAACCCGCAGAGGGGACCCATACCAAGCCTAGATAGCAGGCCAAGATGAAGGCGACACATAAGATCCCTTTCTAAAACCGAAAGCCCTTGCAACCCCACATTGTTCCCTCGGCTATCGAGATCCAACAACCTTAGGCCCTAAACCCTACAAACCATAAATACTAAACCCGACGCAGTTTTTTTTACCTGCACCCGAAACGCTGAACTCCTTTTTTGAACCTGAACTCCTTTTTGCCACTGGACTCAAGTCTAGCCAGTCTACGACCCACAATCATCCCTGAACTCCGTTTTGCCGTAAACCCTAAACCCTGAACTCCTAAACCCCAAACCCCCCTCCCCCTCGCCTGGCGGCCCAGGGGTCTGCTTCGACTTTGGGCTCCGGTCCCCTCAGCAGCCAGAAAAGGCAGGAGCCGACGTCCTGCCTTGGTCGTCGGATTTCGGAAGATTTGGGGTAAGTCTGGGTGTTTAGGGATCGTGGGGGCGGCTTGGGGTGTGCAGGGATTTCTTGTCTCTCCGGTGCATTCGGTGAGATATGGCCGTCATCGGTGTCGGGGGTTTGGGGCCTGCGTGGCAAGCTCGGAAGCCAGCCAAACGGCTGAATACACGGGTTGTTTCGGGTCCAGGGGGCCGCGGGGATCTGGACGACGAAATGATGGTGGCAGTAGTAAGAAGACCACACAAAGAGTGAACCACCAATCATCGGAAGAGCTGCAGTGCTGAGCTTGCCTGCCTACCGCCTCAAGGCCTTCAACCTCGGTGGCCTTTCGGTGTGGGACGCTTAGCTTCAGTCTCGGAGTGTTGAGGTTTCAGCATTCACACGCATAGAATTTGTGCCCGAATACCTCCGAAAATTCCAAATCTCCTGTGCCTAGGTCCTAGGTTCCTTTTCAGAACAACTGCCGCTGAGACTGAAGTTTCAGCTTATAGAGGCTTTGCATCGTCAAGGAGTATTTTAGCGCACTGGCTTTCCCAAAAGGTACCCGGTGCACGGTGGTTTTGTCAGGATCCCCGTACCTGTAGCAACCCCAACCCGACCCTCCGGCTGAGCCCAGGCTGCGCCGAGATCAGGAGGTGCAGCGCCATGAAGGTCGCGGCAAAGACCAACGCCCGGAGTTGGTCGTCATTTGCCAGTGCCATGCCCAGGGGCCCAGTCAAGATTGCGACCAGAAAATCCAGAAACGACGCTTTAGGCTTTAACCTTATTGTGCCACCCGCCTTACCAGGCTGAATGCAGTAGAGCCGAGGGTCGTGTGACCTATGCTTTGGTGTCACTATTCTCTCAAGCCATGAGGGCTGGGCCTTAACCCAAGAATCCGAGTCCTAACACCGTAGAACGATGCTTGTGCATATGCATTGAGTATATATAAACACACACGTACATACATATTATTTGTATTTGTTTATGCCTATAAGCCAGTACGCGCTAGTCCATACAAGCAATGCCCTCGGAGCGATCTAAGACGAGCCCGGGAAGCAGAGACCGCAGTCAAAAGCAGAGGTAAGACAAACCGACAATGTGCTCTGCAAATCTCCCATCCACAGTGGCCTCCAGCTGACCCTAGCTTCAATCACCATCACCCCACAACGACACCCAAGCAGTTTCCCGCCAAGGAAATCAGGACGAGTTAGGAGTCGGGCCTGACTTGCGTGGCCGGGCCAAGGGGAAGCGGCCTCTGCACAAAGCGTAGCATAGGTTGTGTGAGAGCACGGCTTGAGGGGCCACACCTGGAAATCCCGAAACTTAGTCTGGTTTGCAAGCTGCAGTCACTGTCAAGCATGATTTACTTCGAACTGAGGAGTTAAAAGCCAGAGGCTGTTGCCGTGGTGTCCAACTCGGCGCATGTGAAAAATTTGCGAGGACGACCGGACTTCCATTCAAGTTAGGGTTAGGGTATTCGAAATCCCTCCACTCGTACAGAGGATCCGCAATCTCGTCCCTTAGTGGCAACCCATTCTTGGCCGGAAGCTTGCGGTTCAGAAGTCAAGAATTTCGCCTTTGGAGCTTAGGATTTATGTCGGGCCTCAGGTGGAGAAAGCAGGGGAGCTGGTTGACGGGGATATTTTGGCTTTCAATAAGCTACTGGAGACCTGTCGCCAAGGTTCACGGATTTCAGGCGTGCGTCTTGAGCAGGGACCGACTGCACTACACTCTAGACTTTGCAGCGCAAGATGGTGCACGTCTTCTCAGGCCCTGGACTTCAAGAACCGCCTCTCAGCGGCGACAGCTTGGTTATCAGTTTAGAAATCATCCGCGCAGCCCGCCCCTGGTGGGCTGAGCGCTCGCCTGGCATTTGATTGGGTCGGCTTCCAAGCGCACTACGAGGAGCTTCGAGCATGTCCTCGTCGCGAGGAAGCTCAAGAGCATGGCAGCAGCCATTACTAAATGCATCAGAGCTACAAACTGGAAGAGTGACGAAGGCCGACACATGATTTGGTAATCGTCCAGGAGCTTGCAGCTGTATCCGACTAGCCACAGCGCCACCGCGCTCCACATCAAATATCGAAAGCGTCGGCGAGCTGCAGCCACGATGCGGAGCTGGGAACTGTCTTGGAGCTCTTGCATGCACTGCCAGGCAGACCACTCCACAGACAAGGGCGCCGACAGGCAAAAGAGCCCAGTGGCCAGCCACACCATGGGCCAAACAGGGCTATTGCAGGCCTCGTCTATCGAGCAAAAGCAGCCGCAACTCAGACCCAGGCTCAACAAGAGGACGAAACTGTAAGCGAGGAAGAGGATGGCGAAGAGCCAGCTGCTGACAGGGCGACGAAGCAAAGTTTGGCTGGCAATCACCAGGCCGAAACCCTGAGCTGCGAAGCTTACGAGCATTGTCCGCCAGTCGAGAATATTCATCTGCAGGGTCAAAGACGCATGGTAGGCAAAGGAGGCGCCCCCTTCAGCCACCAGAACTGTTCCGAAGAGAATTCCGTGGAGGATCACAGGTCCGTGTCTCCCATAGGGCGCATCCGTGTGCAGGAGGTCCAGGCATGTGACAGAAAGAGCGAAGAGGCCCACCGCCACAAAGCCCAGGCTGCTGAAAGCATTGGCCGGTGCACGGACGAGCTGGAACATCCGTGGCTTCTCGCAGGCGTTGTAGACGCACTCCTTGCAAACTCCGTTTTCAAGGAGCGAAGGCAAGACTTGGCCCCAAGCCATCTGGTGCCATTGGCCTCTCTCTATCCCGGGACAGGAAAAGGAGACGCACGGTGAGAAAGCGTCCCAGACGTGGTGGTCGAACCGCGGATGAGAGTTCAGCTGCGAGCTCGTCTGCAGGACGCTGAACTCGGCGAGAAGGGTCTCCTCCTTGAGGTTCCGCGGTTCGGAACTATGCTCTGCTATACGATTAGTACACTGAGTATTTAGCCACAGCCTATGGCATATGGATTGCAGGAACTCGGATCTGGAAAGACTTTGGCAGAAGGTTTCCTATGTTGGAAGAATTGAAAAATCTTGCGCTTACTGTTGCAATGACCTATGCACTGAATAGCTGCAAAGCAGCTTCGATCTTCACTCTGCCTGCTTTCTGCTACGAGTGCTAGTGCACTCCTACTACCACCACCCCGCCCGCGGAACTGCCATTTGCTTTACTATATTCCCTTCTCGCCGCCGTGAGGCCTCCTCCAAGCTCCAAAGCGGCGCCGCTAGGGACGGGAAGCAGATGAGGAGGCGCAGCAGTCGCAGAAAGGGCAGTGACATAGCCATGGCAGGGGTTTACAGTCTCGAGCCTGTAAGGTCTTGGCAGAGGACATGTGTTGGGAGAAGGGTTTGACAAGGGGGGGGGGGTGGAGATGGAGTTCCGAGGTTCAGGAGGGTTTTGTGAGGAAGTGGATCAGCTTCGGATCGGCTTCCGACGTCATCGGCTCGCCTGGCCTTCTCCAGTTGTTCTCGAGCCATGGCCGGCCAAGTGGGGGACATGCGGCCACAGCAAAGAACCCTAAAGCTCTAAAAACGGCTAACGGTAAGCTTGAAAAGGCTTGGGGAAGAGGGGAAGGGCTTTTGGGGGCCGGGAAGCCGTTGCCCTCATGGCTGTGCTTGCTGCCGTACGATCCTTGGAAGACGCATCGGCAATGGCCCACGGCACCAGGCAGGGGCAGAGGGCCAAGGATGAAACCAGCAGGAACCCTTACCTCAGCATCCTGCCTGCCGGAAGCGCCTTGCGAAGAGTGGGAGGGGCTCAGATGTCCGCTGCAAGCCCCGCGAGAATTTGAGATGAACTTCGGCGTGTGTCGTACCAGAGTATTTATCTGCTTTTTGCCACTGCCGGAGATTTTCGACATTTCGTCGAAGGACGAGGTCTGAGCCTTCAGAATTCGGAGAATTCCACATTGCTGATATGATGGACAGTGGATCTTGGTGCCATCTTGTCGATTGTGCGTTGGAAGCTATGGGGCATTTCATGCCACTTCTGGGTGTCCCCACCAAACAGCTGAAGTCAGCAGGCAATGGAGCTCAAACGAACACTTGAAGGCCTAGCAAGGGAAACTTCGAAGAGACTGCCTATCCGCTTCGGCTCCGTCGATTCCGGCTCAAGGAAAGCTCTGCAGCAAGCACAACCTCACGGGAAGCAGTAGGGTGGGTGTGCAACCCTACTATTATTGGGGCCACGATCCTTGAAGCTACGGTCCAGGTCAGCTGCATGCTAATCACGCGGCTCCTTGCCTGTGGTTCTACTTCCAGCTTTCTGGTCATGATCACGGAGGCACCTGGACCGTATTCGGCAGTATTTTCAATATACCTGGAACTCCATGTGACGGTGGCACTTGCTGAGCGTTGCTGAGAGTTTACCCACAGGCTGCTATTTGGCACTCAATGCAAGAAAGCAGCAGTTCGGCTGCTCGCACTATGAACCGAGCTGGTGGGATGAGGGATTTCTCCGAAAGATGAACTTGTCCGAGGTCACACTCCAGCAAGACTTCGAGATTTTACCAGGTACAAAGTCCCAGGCTTCACCTGCTCTCTGAGTAACTCATATGCTGCCATGTCCAAGCCAGACAATGGGCCGGTACGGGGGATGTGAGGTTCAGATGCCCCTACTCGTTTGTTGTGAGAATTCGGACGGGTACTGTTCGGCTGGTCCCCATGTGCCCAGGCCTGGGGAAGGTCTGTCGTATGGGAATGCGAGGACCCACAGAATGCAATGACAGCAGAGGATGTACTGGCGGTCGTGAGGTTGATTGGCAAGGCTGTCTGGGTTCTCTAGTTCTCTGCTTCAGACATTCCAGAACACCATCCCGGAAGGAGTGAAACCTGAGCAAAATGCCCTCCGTGTGTTGCTCTCAGCTGTGCGGCATATCATCGCCTTGCCAGCTGAGGGACGCGTTGGGACAGCTGAGGGTCGGGTCCGAAGCGTCCCTCACACCAACACGGTCTCCCCCTGAAACAGACCAATCCCGTCTCTGGCCTGGGTCTCAGATATGGATTTCCTTCTGGGGCGCGGCGAGCGCCTCCAGGGCCGCACGGAGCTCCTGCACCGCCTCGTAGCCTGTGGAGGGCGCGAGGAGAGGGATCCGGTCCGAGAGGCTTCGCCTCCGCTGAAAGAGTCCTGTGGGACTGATTGTGGAGGAAGCTTCAAGGATGCAGGCAATTTTTCCTTCAGGTCTTGCTCTGGACTCGAAGGCTCGCAGAAGATGTGTTGCTTCGCTTCAACAAGCTTTGATGTGGCCCCGCTCTCTCTCAGCCTGAGCCGCCCGGCGGAGCTCGTTACTTCCCAAATCTAGGTGCAGCTTCGCGAGCTCGGGGAGCTTTCCGAGGGCCCCGGCAAGGGACCCGATGCCCTCGGGGCCTCGGCTTTGTCTGCCGCATGTCGAACCCTGTCGTTTCCGTTGCAGGAATCAAAGTCTCTTCCCTACGTAGTTCTGCACAGATACCACTCAGCTGTTGCCGTCTAGGGCCCCAGCCGAGACGAGCATTGTATAGATCAACAGACAGCTCCCGAAGGTTGGTGAGGCCGCTCAGCGCATCTGCCAAGCAGGTCGCTCCAGTGTCACCTCGGTCGAGCTCAACTATTAGCTTGGAGCCCCTGCTTTTGGGAGGTGGAGAGCGACTCATGAAACTTCATCTCATGTCTAGTGACTAGTGGCTTCTAAGAAGTCGGTCGACAGGACAAGCTGTAGAATGGCAGATGGTTTGGCTCCCGTGGCTCCGTACTTGTACGGGTACTGGCGACACTGAGATGCAAGTGAAGAAACAAGACCACCTTAAAGCGGCACGGCACGAGGCCCGCGGAATTTCTGCACACAACCAGGAAAACACGAGTCCCGATGAAGCGCTTCGTCATTCTACACCCACACGGATGCCCAAGCGCGGCAGCGTCAGACAGATGGATGTGCTGCCGCTCACACTGGTGAAGCCAGAGCTACAAGCAACATTAGCAAACCAACATACTACGCACGCACTCTCGGACCAAAATCAAGAATCGAGTAAAACGCACTTGACACTTGTCCCAGCTGCAAACACATCGGTCTGAGGGCAGCTTGCAAAGACCCCACAGAAATCCTGCAGAGTTGCCTCCGTCTAAAACTTCGCGAATTCAACCATCCAGCCCTGGGGTAGCCTTCAGCAGTTCAACTTGCGGACAAACAGTTATTGGGCACAGCTGCAGGGGCAACGACCCTGCAACAAATATGCCTTTTTGTTTTCATCTCGGCAAAGTAGGTTTAGTACGGTTTAGTCTTCGCTCAATTACCGATGTCGGTTGGGTCCTCATCAACAGCTTTGCTTTGTTTTCTGGGTGCCATGTTGGCCCTGCTCTCTCTCAGCCTGAGGCCCCCGGCCGACCTTGTCGTTCGCTTGCAAATTTACGCACAGCTGCGCCAGTTGGGGGAGCTTTCCGAGGGCCCCGGCAAGGGACCCGACGCCCTCGTGGCCTCGGCTTTGTCTGCCGCATGTCGAACCCTGTCGTTTCCGCTGCAGGAATGAAATTCTCTTCCCTCTGCAGTTCTGCACAGATACCAATCAGCTGCTTCGCATCCAGCTGTTGCCGTCTAGGGCCCCAGCCGAGACCAGTCCTTTCCAGATCAACAGTCAGCTCCCGAAGGTTGCTGAGGCCGCTCAGCGCATCTGCCAAGCAGGTCGCTCCAGTGTCACCTCGGTCGAGCTCAACTACTATTAGCTGGGAGCCCCTGCTTTTGGGAGGTGGAGAGCGACTCATGAAACTTCATCTCATGTCTAGTGACTAGTGGATTCTAAGAAGTCGGTCGACAGGACAAGCTGTAGAATGGCAGATGTTTTGGCTCCCGTGGCTCCGTACTTGTACGGGTACTGGCGACACTGAGATGCAAGTGAAGAAACAAGACCACCTTAAAACGGCACGGCACGAGGCCCGCGGAATTTCTGCACACAACCAGGAAAACACGAGTCCCGATGAAGCGCTTCGTCATTCTACACCCACACGGATGCCCAAGCGCGGCAGCGTCAGACAGATGGATGTGCTGCCGCTCACTCTGGTGAAGCCAGAGGTACAAGCAACATTAGCAAACCAACATACTACGCACGCACTCTCGGACCAAAATCAAGAATCGAGTAAAACGCACTTGACACTTGTCCCAGCTGCAAACACATCGGTCTGAGGGCAGCTTGCAAAGACCCCACAGAAATCCTGCAGAGTTGCCTCCGTCTAAAACTTCGCGAATTCAACCATCCAGCCCTGGGGTAGCCTTCAGCAGTTCAACTTGCGGGCAAACAGTTAGTGGGCACAGCTGCAGGGGCAACGACCCTGCAACAAATATGCCTTTTTGTTTTCATCTCGGCAAAGTAGGTTTAGTACGGTTTAGTCTTCGCTCAATTACCGATGTCGGTTGGGTCCTCATCAACAGCTTTGCTTTGTTTTCTGGGTGTTACGTTGGCCCTGCTCTCTCTCAGCCTGAGGCCCCCGGCCGACCTTGTCGTTCGCTTGCAAAATTTACGCACAGCTGCGCCAGTTGGGGGAGCTTTCCGAGGGCCCCGGCAAGGGACCCGACGCCCTTGTGGCCTCGGCTTTGTCTGCCGCATGTCGAACCCTGTCGTTTCCGTTGCAGGAATGAAATTCTCTTCCCTCTGCAGTTCTGCACAGATACCAATCAGCTACCACTCGTTGCCTCGCTTCGCATCCAGCTTGCCGTCTAGGGCCCCAGCCGACGAGACGAGCATTGCTTAGATCAACAGACAGCTCCCGAAGGTTGGTAAGGCCGCTCAGCGCATCTGCCAAGCAGGTCGCTCCAGTGTCACCTCGGTCGAGCTCAACTATTAGCTGGGAGCCCTTTTGGGAGGTGGAGGGCGAGTCATGAAACTTCATCTCATGTCTAGTGACTAGTGGCTTCTATGAAGTCGGTCGACAGGACAAGCTGTAGAATGGCAGATGTTTTGGCTCCCGCGGCTCCGTACTTGTACGGGTACTGGCGACTCTGAGATGCACGTGAAGAATCAGGACCAGCTTAAACGTGAAACCAAAGCAAATAACATTTGCAAACCAACATACTACGCATGCACCCTCGGACCAAAATCAAGAATCAAGTAAAACGCACTTGACACTTGTCTCAGCTTCAAACACATCGGTCTGAAGGCAGCTTGCAAAGACCAAACAGAAATCCTGCAAAGCTGACTCCGTCTACAATTTCGCGTTTTCAACCATCCAGCCCTGGTGTCGCCTTCAGCAGTTCAACTTGCGGGCAAAGGCAACAAATGTGCCTTTTTGTTTTCATCTTCACAAACTAGGTTTAGTACGGTTTAGTGTTCGCTCAATTTCCGATATCGGTTGGGTCCTCATCAGAAGCGATGCTTTGTTTTCTGAGTGCCATGTTGGCCCCTCTCTCTCTCTCAGCCTGAGCCCCCCGGCCGAAATAGTTAGAATGTAAATTTACGCATAGATTGGCGAGCTTGGGGAGCTTTCCGAGGGCCCCGGCAAGGGACCCGGTGCCCTCGTGGCCTCGGCTTTGTCTGCCACATGTCGTTTCCGTTGCAGGAATCACATTCTCTTCCCTCTGCAGTTACGCACAGATACCACTCATTGCCTCGCTTCGCATCCAGCTGTTGCCGTCTAGGGCCCCAGCCGAGACGAGCATTGCTTAGATCAACAGACAGCTCCCGAAGGTTGGTGAGGCCGCTCAGCGCATCTGCCAAGCAGGTCGCTCCAGTGTCACCTCGGTCGAGCTCAACTGTTAGCTGGGAGCCCCTGCT